GAGTCCACCCTGAGGGGCCCCACCAGAAAGGTGGCATCAAATCTAACAGCCACCGGTTTCCAGAAGGAGGACTGCGGGATCGTGGAGGGACTGCTCACCAACTAAGAATGTTCAAGGCGAAAGTACCTGTCCCCCAGGTGCTCACAAACAGTCCAAGTCAAAACCGGACTGCAGATGTAATCAACCATGCCCTTTGTGATTGACGCATCCGCGTCCAGGGTGGCTGGGGTCTTTGAGTCTTTCGGACACCTCCTGGGAATGGGGTAGGGGGTGGCAGCTGGGGTGCTCACAGGAATGGAGGGACTCTTACTCGCCCCACTCCCACCGGGTGAAAACATCATCTGAGTCACTTTAGAGCTTAGCAACATGTTGAATTATTCCAATTTTGAAGGTAACTAGGTTTTTCAGAAAAGTCAGGTGAGAATGTTTTGTTCGGTTGTTATAGAGAATCGTAGAAAGGACGCAAGATTGTTGAAGAGCAGGCAGCTTTGAAATCTTCTTGCTGGGTGATGAGAATATTTCCTCCTTCCACGTCATCACTTTCTGTGATCCACGTTGTTGTAGTTGTGAGTTGTCGTATAGTCGGTCGGCTCCGGCCTTACACAGCAGGACAGACCCCCTTCTCCTGGTCATTGGCATGGCTCCGTGTGTGGTCTCGGCTGATGTGTCACTCCATCCCATGGAAGAGTGCCCTCATTTTTGCTGACCGTCTCCTCTGTCACCCCATGTCCTGGGTGGTCATTGCTAGTGAGCAGTCTTTTCTGGTGCCACATCCAAAGTAAGGCAGCGACCCCTCGCCCTCCTTGCTTCTGAGGAACCATTCTGGGTGTGGTTCTCCTGAGACTGGTTTGTCCCCAGCATCCTCATGGCATCGAGCGGATGAAACCAGAGCACCACTGGCATCGAGTCGATTCCGGCTCACGGTGACTTTCAGTAGGGTTTCCGGGGTGGGAACTCTTTATAGGTGCAGACAGCCTCACCTTCTCCTGTGGGGTTTGAACCACAGGCTCTGTGGTTAGCAACCCCATGGTGCCCCC